TCATAAGACATCTGTCAACCTGCTGTCGTTTATGAAATTAATTTAAAAAATGATCAGTATAGCATAAGAACAAAAAAAAAAGTCATACAAACAAAACAAAAAAAACCAAGAGTATAGAATATTTTTTGCAAAAAGTCATTCATCATTCTTGGTATATCATTTCACTCATGCAGTGCCTGAAAGTTTGAACCCCTTCTCCATTAAACTCTGGAAGAATAGACTGATATTAATCATACCCTCCTCAGCAGGGTTGTCACCAGCAGGCTGAGGGTCGGTGGCAGCATCTATCAAACAGGAGGGGAAAAATAAGAACAGACTAACTTTAAAAAACTAAATTAGTTCAAAGGTTTAAGGTTAAAAAATGACATCGCAAATATTGCTACAGCTCTTACCTGAAGCGACACAGATAACTACCAAGAAGCAGAGAGCCAGGATAGCCACGGTCTTCATCTTTTCTTTCTTTTTTCAGCCTTCAGTTTAAGGGAAAATGACCCGAGCTGTATCGCTCACTTCTCTCCGTCTTTCCTTCTCTTAGACATATATATGTGAAAACACACTCGGTTTATAGATGTAGCCCTTGTGTGATTGTGTTTGGTGATTGGTTAGGGAATCATGTATCACACACCCACACAGATGCAGAAATACACACCTCTGCAAAAATGAAGTATATATATATGTATATGTAAAAAAAGAAAGAAAGAAGGAAAAAGGCATCCACACTCACAGCGTTGCAGAATAAGGGGTCCAGAAGGTGGGTAATGTTTTAAAGCATAGGTGAGGAGCCACATATATCTGCCACTGGAAGGATCTTTCAATCAACATTATTTTGCAGCTTCATTTGACCTACTTACCAGATTTATGTTAAGAATCACAGTTTCCTTTTCCTCATCTTTGCAAAATTTGCAGTCGTCTCTGTTAAAATAAAAAACAAACAAAAAGCAGACAAAAAACAGAAAGAATGAAATCAAATCAAATCACTGTCACCGATATCTCATCATACGTAGTGGTAGTAATATAAAATTTAATGAACTCTTTCAGGAAAGCAGCTCGGACAGGTCAGACTTTTAAAGCGCCCACACACTTGTACATTTGGTTCAGTAAGTGCATGAGGCAGAGAAAAGCCATGGCTTACTCACTAAAAAGGAAAAGCCACTGTCCCACATTATGCTGCATTATTTTAATCTGAGGGCTTTCTTTTTATTGCAAACCACAGTGATTTCCTACATAGAGAAAGCAACATTTAGAAACAACCATGTTTGTTTGAAGCTTTGTAGACGGGCCATTTAAATGTGCACAGATATTTTTAGTTAAGCAGAGGAAAGCTGCATGATGTCGAGTGGAACATGTCGTTTGATTTTTAATTAAAACACGACTTCCCACAAGCAAAGTGCCTAATACTCTCATGCCACTCATAAAATGTAATCCTTTTGTGGGGTACACATCAAACATCTTTTGTTTCAAGCAGACACTGCAGGATTACCTGTGGTTCAGCAGCTCCTCTCTTGATGTCATACGATATTAGCAGGGTGGGCAGAACATTCACACTGTTGGGGGATCCTCATATAACAGGGTTATAGTTGTGCGTTGGTGCCATCATAGCTTTGCAGAGCAGATCTACATGCTGTAGCTCTGTACAGCCACTAGGAGGCAGTGTGAAAAATATGTGGCATAACCTGTAAGAGGTGAAAGTCAAGTGAAAAAGTGTTAAAATCAATCTGTCTGCTGTAGGCATCGTCTATGTTTCTCACACTGCATTTTTTTTAAATGTTCTGCATGTCTTCCTCTTTGTGGTGATATACCGCTCCAGTTTAACTAACTTTTTAATAAATATTCATCCTACACATAGCATCATCACAACTTGGCTGTGTTTTGTTCTACGGTGTGAAAAAAAGAAGGCAACCAAACCAAAAGATGAGCTTTTGCTTAGCGTCTGAGGAACTGCTGGGGTTTGAATGTGCTGGATACCATGACTGGAATCACTGAGAACCTACACAGATGTTATGCACTGTTAGTTTTGTTGGATAATTGCATGCAAGCACTTGGCATTGTTTGCTTACCAAAATTATGTGCTCTGCAACACGAGTGCAGAACCAAAAATCCTACATCAAATTAGCCTCCAGCTTTAACATAGGCAAACGGAGCCCTCTTTAACTGGTCTCAGCTGTGCTGGCTTGTTAACTGCTGACTGTGTTCAGCTGTTGGTGTTCCTTGCTAAACAGCTCACTACCTAGAACCTTCAGGGAAGTTGTACCTGGAAAACTTGCGTTGGCACCAGACCAGGTGATGTGGATAGGAAAACAGCTTTGACAGGGGGCATTTGAGTCAAGTCACTTTGCTAATACATAAAACTGAAAAAGAAAATGTGCTTCCACTAACACTTGCAATGCATAATTATAAACATGCACACAAAGTACACTCACAGAGACCACAGTTACAAAAGTGGACCACATGTCTTAGGAGCTAGAGAGAAAGAGGAGAGACTTTTGTCAAGGTGCAGAAGTCGATCACTGAGCTCACCACACACTAGGACAGCTGACTGTGGGCGCACAATATCTTTAACATTTCAATTCCCATTTGTTTTGCAGCTTTTGAGTACAGTCACGACTCAAATAGTACAACTAGCTGCACAAGCTGATGAATAACAGGTTTTTAGTTTCAAAGCATAACGGATACGTCCTAAATCTGACTTGCATCCATCCACTCAATGTCCTCCTCAGTCATACGACTTACCACGACTGCTGCAGAAACGATAGTAGTTGACTGAATTTAACTGAAAAATTAAACGGAGCTTGCACTTCAGTAACTTATCAGCAATGTGGTTGTTTTTCACATCCTTTGGAAACAATGGCAGCTGTTTTCCATTCGTGAACTAGAGCCTTGTTGATCAAATCTTGGTATTTGGCTTTCTTCAGGTGGTGAGCGATAACTAACCCGCCCTCCCAGGTCATTTCAAGTTCAGTTATTAAGATTTTTTTGTGCTTCAGGACCGTAGAATCAAGTTTAATCAGAGGAAGGTCGCAGAGGTCTTTCTGTCCTCCTCAGGTCAACTCGCATTTTTCCACTCACAAGTTTAGAAAGGACGACATTGATCTGTTGTTTCTTGGCTTTGACCCTCTGTAGGCTGTCTGTGTCCACTTGCACATTTTTGTAAGGACCGTGTTGTGCCTCCAGCTGTAACAGCTGTTTTAAGAGATCTAGTTGTGGTACCCTGGATTTCCTCCAAGGTTAGCGATCACATGGTAGTTTAATGGTGTACTAGAAATCATAATGTCAATGCTCTACTGAATACCGTCCCAGTAACACAAACATATCATTTCTATTTTCAAAGCTGAGCTTTTTAAGTTCACTTTGTGACATGGATGCCCTTTGTTGCCATTTCTAACTAGAGATTTCGAAGCTGGACCGGTCCGGACAGTAGTAGAGCATATGGGTTGTAATTTCACAGTCTGGGTCAGTGCTGGTGCCTTTTGTCTCGTTTCAGTGACAGACTACAAGGATTTACCCTCAGGACAATTATAATTATACACTTTCGTGGCCATGTGGCAGCACAGACAGACAAACATCCAGT